CACACACACACACACACACACACACACACACACACACACAAATAAATGGTTGCATCCAGCAGGAGATGGGATTCAGGACAACAACAGTCACAGTTAATGGACATCCAGTCTGGGAGTTGCCTTCATTAAGTGCATGTGTGCGTGTGTGCTTGTGTGTGTGTGTGTGTGTGTGTGTGTGTGTGTGTGTGTGTGTGTGTGTGTGTGTGTGTGTGTGTGTGTGTGTGAGTGTTGTGTTGGATTTCATTACTAATCATGTGAAAATCAACTTGTTTTTTTGTACAAAATGTAGTCTCATGATTAAAGAATTGAGGCAAAAATGTTGTATCCTCTAATAACTAAAGAATAATCTTAAGATCTAAAACAAGATTTGCTTTGGTTTGGCTATTAAACCATTCTGTGAATAGTTTCCAAAACAACTGCGTTTAAGAGCAGGATACAAAGCAATTCTCTGTTCTTTCGGTATCATCTTCACAGAAAACACATTCACTGCGCTCAAAGTAAGAACTTGAACTTAAAAGTTCTACTAGAAAGGTTGAAATCATCCATTGATTTGTAGTGAATTTCTTGTATTTGAAGAACTTTCTTCTCTGCAGAAGCTTTTTTACCAATGAGATAAAACTTAGAATGATCATATCTGGTTTACATTCACTTCCAGATTCTCTTTAGTCAGGAAGCATAACATTTTCATTGGATACTTTCAAAAAGTGACCATGATAGTTTTAATTTATTTGCACACAAAGTAAGTCAATGCCGACATTGAATCAATATTTGGTGTCCATAGTTCTCAGGATTTAGCCTGTCCCTTCATGTAATCCTGCACTGACTCCATGATCGTATAAACTAAACATCAAAAGTGCCCAAAACCTGCACATCTTGTACACTTGAGCTAATAAATGGCTGCATATAAATACCTCTGACATGGACCTAAATTGTAGGTATAAGTTTGGTTTTATCCCTGGTGTTATTTGTGACCTTTAACCAGGAGCTACTGTCGGTCAGTCATGTTTGAGGTTTCTGTGGACACATATTTGTCTTCTATTCAATGATAAATATTCACAAAGACACTACAGAAAACTAAACTGAGAAGTTGTGGCCCTGCTAATTTATTTTCAGCTCTGCACATGGCAAAGTCTTTATTTTAACAAAGTGCTGTCTATGTGTACAACAGACTTCTGCCCCCTGTTCCACTATCTCTAATGAGTTATTTGTGTAACCTTTGAATTTGTTGACCAAGCTGCCTTTACATGTCTGTGGTACAACATTTTATCCTCCTTAGGTTTTTCCTCAGGGACAGACAGGTGCTGTTTAACTGGACTTGGAGGCTTCTGTTAAACTTACTTCCCTGAGGTATGACACACAGGAATAAACATGGGATGATACTCCTCGATCGTTGTGGGTGTTTTGACTTAAGTGACTAGAGTTACAGTAGATTCCTTCCAAAGCCTGGCTTCTTGCTGCTGCTCCAAAAATGAAATCTATGTAGTTGGTGTTTGAGAGCACTGAGCTCTGTTTGCAGAGGAGATGAAGCTGAAGGGATTACTCCGAATCCAAATTAACTTCGGTCAGCTACAAACACCATAAATGGACATAAATATTAACAAGTAGAGGCAGGACTCACATCATCACGCTAACAATAAAACATTTCTGCTGAAACTTTTATTGTTATCTAAACATATAGATGAAAAAATTTATGTGTGAAAACATATAGATGAAAATCATTTAAGATTTCATATGATTAAAGCAGAAAAACTACATTTAATCAGAGTAATGTTTGTGTTACATCATTAAAAAGATTTGATATGAAAATGGCTGAGGTAGTGTGGCAAGAACAACTAAATTAAAAACAGTTTTAAGGGACAACACAAGTGTACATAGGTAAAACTCTAATGCATCGTGGCATAGGGCAGTGGATATACAGGATACAAGTTCAACACCCAACAATTACTACATAGAAACATACACTGTGTGGCCACTTTATTAACTACACCCATACAATCTTATGAAATTCTGACCCCATTTTCTCAAAGTTAAACAGTTGAGTTATTACTGCAAACTAGACTCTAAACTATAAATATACAGTTAAACTCATACTTTGCTGACAGTGTCAATGAAGAGTGAACATTATAATCTTTGCAAAGGAAATATTTACGCTGAGGCTGTTGGATTCGATTTTACTGGTGTCATTATTGGTGGTCACTAAATGTGTGTATATATATTATTCCCATTTCTTATCTTATCAACATATCCTCAAATATTAAAAATTCAATGTCAAATATCTAAATATGAATATAGTCAACAGAAGGAAAACCAATATTGCATCTTCAAATCAATGTTAAATCAAATACTTTGGTTCATTGAAATTCACAAAAGTCTTTGTAAAATAAAAAAAGAATGCATTTACTCATGTCGGACACGCTTCCTCGGCGATGCTGGAGAGTCCAGGGAGAAGGCAGTGGGGGAGACGGGGCGGGACTCTGGGATGTACTCCGTCTGATACTTGTCAATGTAAGGTTTGGCCACATTCCACACCTGGGTTGAAAATATAAATGTTCAATTAAAATGTTTCCATTTAATCTTATTAACAGTGGACCTGCATGTGCATCGACAGTGGGGACATTTTATAGCCACGACTTGCCTTCTGGTCAAGTAGGAGGCGGTGAACAGCTTCGATGTCTGGAGACATGAACCTGTCTTTAATCCACGGTCTGTTCATGACAAAAGAGCAGTCAGGAAAAGAACGTCAGAAGTGGAACAGTGGATAAATATTAACCATCCTGAACATCATCTCAGTGGAGGGAAAGCTTGTGTACCTTGGCCACATCTGTTTGACTTACTTGACCACACTGCGCACGAGTTCATAGACCTTCTCCAGTGGAGTGGTGGTTCGAAGTGGGCGGAGGAACTCGATACCCTGACAGGCCGCCAGCAGCTCTATGGCAAGAACTGATCACAGAATATCCATTCATTTAGAGAAATATAATCTCCGTATATTTAATAAAATCACCAGACAATATCACATAAACTAGATATGTCCTTGTAGAGCAGTCGAACCACTTAATGCATCAAAACTCTTATATAACAGTATAGATCCACTTCCATGTTTAAAAGTCAGACACTGACGGCTTAAATCTTACATGCAACCATTATTGTTTGTTACTGCGTCTGTTGTGAATAATTCAGAGACTTGATATAATCACATATGTAACTTTAATGTATTAAACCTGTGGTTTGATGGTTAACCACTGTTTCCACTCGATGAGCTTTGATTTACAACCATGCAAATGTTTGCTGAGGCAACTCTATCCACAGTCGGTGTACACTGCCCTTATTTTAGACACTGTTACCTTTGCACTGGTGACAGAATCATCAGAAGCTGGTCTGTGAGCCTCTTTCTACCAGAAACAGTTTTCATGTCATGATTTAAAAACTCACATAAAATTGGGTGGTTTTTAGATTATTGAAAAAAGCTGTTATTGCTCATACACTGCAACTCAATGACGCACACATTGTGAGTTTCCCCTTGTGAGTCCTGATTCATGCTGAAATTCACTTTATTGACTGATAATTAGTTGGTTTCCATGTCAAATATTTCACTGAAGGCCAAATCTGCCTGCTATTGTTGATAAAATTGTAGTTTGTGTAAATATAACTGTTACTATTTATTTGTGCCTCAAAGTTACACACAATTACTCCAATGGAGTTTGATATTGATATTGATATTTGAAATAACCTAACCTTGCTCCACATGCTCAATGACCCTCAGGGCCTTCCTGGCAGCCCAGCCTCCCATAGACACATGGTCCTCTGTGGCAGCACTGGTGGACAAGGAGTCCACAGAAGATGGATGGCACAAAACCTTATTCTCTGAAACTGGACACAGAATAAAGATAGACATTATGTTAATGATGTTAATTTTGTATGAAATTAATAAAATAGAGACATAGAATGTACTTTAACTACTTGGTTACTCATGCTCTACTTTATTTTTATGTTTTTGCACTGACCCAATGCAGCAGCAGTGCAGTGGGCAATCATGAATCCTGAGTTGAGTCCCCCCTCGTTGACGAGGAAGGCAGGCAGCTCGCTCAGGGAGGGGTTACACAACCTCTCGATCCTCCTCTCACTGATAGACGCCAGCTCATGGACTGCAATGGCTAAAAAGTCTAGGGCCTAAGAGAAAGGAAAAGAGCAGTGAAAGAGAGGAGAACAAAATCTGCAGCAAATACAAAAAAACTTTGATGAGTCACAAACCTTTGCTGGATATTCTCCATGGAAATTCCCACCTGAAATGGTCTCACCTCTTTCGGCAAACACCATCTTGTACAATTGTTAAGAAAATTACACCACAAACTATCTAGTGAAAATCCAACGCACAATTTGTGGCAGAACCTAAACTTTGGGGTTGATAATTGTTTGAGTGCAGAGACTACGGTGACACGTTTGAAATCACAGACTTCCAGTTTGCAGGAGGAGGATACAGGGTTGTCAGTGGCACTGTTGATTTCTGTATTGATGATGTTCTGGACAAAGTTGATTGTGTCGGTGGCAATTCCGTGAACCTGTGTAAAGGAAGAGAAGGTTATGCTCAGGATATGAACAAACAACCTTCCAAAACTGGCAGTTTAAGGGTGGAGAGAATTTAAATCCCTCTGGAACAAATTTAACTTGAAGTTACCTGAGGACAGCATCGCATGGTGTAGGCATCCTGGACTCGGTCACAGAAACGGTGGCTTTCTGGAAAAACATCACCAGATGACAAACATTAAATACAACATGTTTATTAATTTATTAAGGGAAATACACCTTCTACATCTGACCTGACCAAGGCTATGAGTTGTGGTATGGAGGAGGACTATAGAGTGCTACAGCTCTGAAACAAGGACCTTGATCAAGGGCAGCAGGAGCAACATTCCTCATAGATGTTTGAGGTTGGTCAGAAACCCTGACAAATACAGAGATAACGTCCAACCTTGACGCAGTGTGACCTTGTAAGCTTTAGATATGTCCTCACACTTGACCTGGCTTTGAAGTGGCAGAGCCACTGCTGCCCAGATGTTAAAGAGTGTAATGATAATGACGTGCGACTACTATATCATGCTCTGTCTGTTTTAGATTCCAGGTCTGTCCTCTGACCTGCAATTTGGGATGGATGGTGATCAGAGTCCAGCAGCGAGCGGAAGCGTTGGGCCACCTCTATCTGTCCTGGGTGAGGCCGCAGCATATGGATGTCTGTATAGGAGGAGACAGAAAATCAGAAAGGATGGACAAAATGCAGGATCTTCAATTTGAAGGTAAATGCTTCTGTAGTCTTGAGATGATGTTGCTCACCACTGTCAAAAGCCTTGGTGGTTCCTTTTAGCACCTCCAGGGTGAGGGCAGCGATGATGTCAGCCTGACGGGCGATCGCCTGGGCTCGCTCCATGGCCTCTGCCCCCAGAGAGGTGATCATCTGGGTCCCGTTGATCAGAGCAAGACCCTGTGAGGGTAAAGAAGAGTATTGTCCATCTTACTATAACTATATCACGCTGTGTAATAGTCATGTAAACTCTGTTCATATTCTTCTAAATTCTTAAACACAAAGGATTCCCGATGAACCCTGGATTTATTTTCTGAAGTTATCAGTTCAAGTGAAACATGAGAGTGTGTGGTTGGCTTTAAACATTACCTCTTTAGGCTTTAGTGATATTGGCTTCAGTCCATGGGCCTCAAGGACCTGGCCAAGGATGAAAGAGAAAAAAACATGTAAAAGGTCAAGGGTCATCCAAAGCTAAACATGTTTTCCTTTTGGCCTTTACGACCTTTCACTCTCATAAGCAAAATGCAAACTTCCCACTGCATCAAGCATGTTATTGTTTTACAACTATGAAAAAGTCATCGCAATCTTACATATTTGGCATCTGCCCATCCACTCTTTGGAGACCACATTTTACCCTCTCCCATCAGCCCTAGAGCCAGATGAGAGAGTGGTGCCAGGTCTCCGCTAGCACCCACTGTTCCCTTCTCTGGGACAAAGGAGAGGCAGGAAGCTGCGGGGGGCAAAGTAAGATTCATAAGAAGAGTCATGTAACAGTCAAATTCCCCAATACTAATCCATCAAGCCAGTAATCATGTCAGTTAACAGTAGCTAATAGATAATTCAGGTCACCTGAGGTCAAGTGAGATTGGTGGGTCAGAGTGAGGCTCACCATTAAAGGCTTGGATCATGGCATGAAGGGTTTCCAGAGAGATCCCACTGTGCCCTTTGGCCAGGACATTGATCCTGAGAGCGAGCAACATGCGGGTTCTCTCAGGGCTCAACGGGTTTCCCACACCTGCACACCAGAGCAGATCCATGCTGACATATGTACAATAAGAAATTCTAAAATACCTGTCATCCTGTCTGGAGTTCTCGAGGTCTTACAAATGTTAAACGCGAAACAAGAAAGCGAGCCTTATAGAGACTGTTATTACCTGCTGAGTGTGAACGCACCAAGTTCTCCTGCAGCTCCCTGAAGGGAAAAAATGAAAGGGAAGGGAAAAAGACCTTAAATCAGCACATAAAAAAGGATGATTCCTCAACAGTTGACAAAGAAAACAGAAAATAAAATATTGTCTTTACTTGAGCTTGCTGACAGGAATGACAGTTCGGGCAAATTTGCCAAATCCTGTTGTGATTCCATAGACAACTGATGGCACAGAGAGAAATACAGAGAACTGAAAACATGTAATAATTTCTTTGGGGAGGCTGTAGTGTTGCAGCAGCTGGTTAACACTGTGCTTTTTAATGCACTCATTCTCTTTGCAGACAGACATTTAAGGTCTTTATCCTGAAATTGATCTCAACCTTTGTTTTCTTTGACAATGGTGTCCAAAAGGTCTCTGGCTTGCACAACTTTTCTCTCTGCCTCTGGAGTCAGCTGAAAATGTCAGTAAAGGGAATGATTACACTGAGTAAAAGATTATCCAATTGGACCTGACGACAAATACAAGTTGTTGATAATTACCTTTATCTTGTACAGTCCCCTGCCTAGGTTGACCAAATCTGTAGATGTCAGGCTGTTCCCATCCAGGGAAATAAACTGTATACAGGGATATGCATATTATATAGATGTAGTTAGTATAACATTTTAGCAGAAAATGGGTATATAACGAACACTTACGTCTCCAGGTTCTTTATATGCTGCTGTACTGTTTCACATTTATCAAGGATAACATTCAGTTAAACACAGTGTTGCCCTACAGTGAAAATAAGAGATTATATTATACAGAAATGATAAAACTCCATTATTCAATAGACTGGGATTCTTTTCAAAAGACAGTGTTACCCAGAACTAAAAAACTAAACTAAAAAAATTAATAAATTGAAAACAAAAAACAAACAGTGTTTAGTACCCGCTACAGTATATGTACCATATAATAACTATATAGCACAAATTCACAAGTTTGAGGATACAGATGAGAAACTCCAGGCTCATACGGGATAAAGTCAGGAGACATGGTATCTCCTTCTATAGCTGGAAGAAAAAGAAAATCATACAAATTATATGGATTACCTCTTAATCGTTAATTTTGTCATTATAATTAACGTTCTTATCGTCGCCATGGCACCAATATTGCGCAATTACGCACAAATTACGCACAGCCAATGTTATAACGTCAGTGCTGATGCATGCACTTGTTAATTACTTAATTCATGCAAACTGTCATTACCGATCTCGACAAAGTCGTTATCCTCCAGTACATCCTCGATGGTGTCATCCGCGTCCAGCAAACCCAAACCCTGGCACCTTCGCACCACGAACCGAGTGTCCTTCACCGCCGTGATGCCGCCGTTGTCCGGTTTGTTCTTAATGTAACGTTTAAGCGCCTCGAGTCCGAGCCACTGGATGGTGTTGGTTGTGTCCCGGCATGGCACCGCCAGCCACTCATCGCGGATGTGGACAGTAAAACGAGGCATTGCGCTTCAGCGTGACTCTGTTGCAGTGAGCGCTGCTTGTCGCTCCGCAGCCCATCACCTTCAGCTGCGTACAGCGGTGCCACCAATCACACGCACCGCTGGGGAGTCCCGCCTCGCCGGTGTCACACCTCCAGGGGACCACTGACCTCCACGGGTCAGTCACACGGATGTTTGGACACACTGACCTCAATGCGTTCAGGTGACGCAACGACAAAAAACCAACAAGTATTTTTTTTAAAACAACACATTCATGTTCACATTCACATGCATACTGAAAATTTAACATAATAACAAATCAATGTTTAATTGCCCACAAAATGAAGTATCTACTTTATTTGCTTATTGTGATGGAAACAATTATTTACATCGACTTTGATTTATTTATATGAATTAGTTTGAAGTTAAGTGAAATGAAAGTGAACAATAACAGCAATGAAATATTCAAGATTCAAAGATTTATATGTTGATAAAATCTTAGCATGTGCACATTCTAAAAGGTGGTGAAATTAAACCTTTAAAAAAAGAAGAAGACGTGAAAATAAAGAAGAGGAGAGACACTAAACGGTCAGACTGGGAGACATCGAGCCCTGGATTTCCACTGCGGACGTCCCACAGCCTCAACATGCGAAAGGGCCACCAGACTGACGGGCCAGTAACAGATGTGGCAGCACATTTGACGGACCTCCGAGAGTTCACAGACAAGAAGACTGATGCAGAGGCTGCTCTTCCTGAATTTGCTTGTTTTTATAACTAGTCCCAACTGAGTTTTATGCTATGCTTGCCCAGAGACAACAGATGCAAATAATCTTCCATCTAACTTTGGTCCAATTAATTATTTTAATTGTCTGCTGTAAAAATACACAATAAGTCAATTAAAGTAGCATGGAGTTGTGATCGTCTGCAGCTGGTGTGCTGGCTCTAAGAAACGAGCAATGAAGACCTAAACTCAAAAGTGTTGCAAACACAGATCATTTAATACTGTGGCAGGTGACGTCACCTTCCTTACAAGCTTATAAACCTGTGGTCCTCTCAGTGTCATGTTAAAAGAATATAAATGACTACCTCTTGGTAGTTTGTAATCGATATTGTGTTTTGATTTTTGTGTTTGTGTGCATGTCATTTGTTCGATGATTTGTATTAGTGTTTGTGTTCTATATTAAAGACAGAATTCACAGAGGATTCCACCATTGTGTCCATGAATTTAAAGGACGGAACTTCTGAATGAGCACCGATGAGCGGGAAGCATTTTGATGTGAAGTTCAAATATCGAGTCACTCTCGAGGATTACTAACTACACCTCTAAGGATCTCAGTTGTCCAATTTATAGTGTTAATCTTGAGGTAAACCTTTAGCTAATCTCAAAAGACTCTTTTAGACAAGATTAAATTGGCCTTTTCTTGCATCACAGACTAAATACTGTTTCATAACAAAACAAACAAACATTACAAAATTATACATTCAGTCAGTCGGCAAAATATTTTAACAACCAAACATTTCATTGCCTCACTTCCACTGCTGACCTACACAGGGATGCACATCATAAAACACATTAATTGGTGTCTTACAGCAGATCTCTGGTGTGGTATCACCCCAACTGGGAACCTATGTTCTGACTTGACAGAAGATTTGAGGAATAAAGACCATAAATAGGACCATAAAAGCTGATATTCACTGAATTAAATATGAGGGGAGATGAAGTGTTACTTTAAAATCTATCTGCCTTAATGTAACCGTCTCTTGGACCAGGTCTGAGGCTCACACTTTGTTTTAGGAGTGTCCCCAGTTGAATGTCAGCTGAAGACTTTTGTTGCATCTCTCTTTGCTCGTCCAGCCTCTCCCTAAAATCAAATAATGGCAAAAATGCTCCTAACTACTAAATATAATCACACTGAAAATCCTATGGCAGATGTCCAGTTTTTGGAAGCTTATCAGTGAGTCTGGCCTGTACAGAAACAACAAATAAAATATTAAATTTAATATGTTTGGTATTTTGTCTTTGTCAGTATCGACAAACATTTTCAAAATACCTCAACAAAATTAATCAAATCCGTGTAGGCTTTTTTCAAATGAAACCCTGCATAATAATAAAACAAAGTACAAAAACGAATTGGCTCCAGCCCTCCTGAAACAGAGCTGGGTAAGCAGAAAATATAATGGATGGACTGATGTTATTATATTGTATTAGTGACATTAAGTCTCTAAATAATGAAGTGGCGCTAAGTCTATTTTTTTCACAAATATTTGTACAATTAATTTGCATAATGCGAGATATTGTTGTCTATATAGTATATTACTGTAAATGATAGATTGTTTGCTATTCATTTTATTCAAATAGTCTTTTGTGATGTTAATTCACTGAAACCTCTGTAGAGCAGTATTTTCTGATGGAATACACGACTATTAAAGCATCATTTTCACTTCTGCCAAAGAGGTTATCTTTTTACCCTTGTTTGTCTGGGTCGGTTGGTCAGTCGGTCGGTCGGTCAGACGGTTAGTGAGTCAGTTGGTTCGTTGATTGGTGGTTGGATTGGTTGGTTTATGGGTTGGTTGGTTGGTTGGTTGGTTAGCTGGTTAGTTGGTTGGAGGGTGGGTTGGTGGTTGGTTTGGTTGGTTGGTTGGTGGGTGAGTAGGTTGGTTGATTGGTTGGTTGGTTTCCACAAAACTTGGTGGAAGAGCCAAGAAAGAAGCCATTAAATGTTGGAATGGTTTCCACAAATAGTTGGATCTTGGACACACATCTTGATCACTTTCTTTAACATTGTAAGTATGATGGGTTTTTACAGATCTCACACATTTAAAAGGACTGATATAAGTGAGTCTGTGGAACTTGGTGAGGCTTGATTGAATTTAAGGGGACTGTTGGGCCCTGGCGGCGGTATGAGCTCTACTGAGTGCCATTGTAGTTTTAAATTGAGTTATCCTGATATGCGTTTGGTGCAGTAACACACACACAGCGCATTAGTTAACGTGTAATAGACCCCGAACCACATGACTCTGCTTTTTGACTGTGACTGTAAAGTAAACGAGGCGTACGTGAAGGCAGCTCGCTCGCCTGCGGACTGACGGTGATGATGTCAGTTTATGGGCAGTCGGAGTTTCTGTATCACCATGTGTGCGGATCCTGTGTGAGCAGGCCCACTGCTGGCGCACGGTCAGCGGGCAGGCACGGGAGGAGAGGAGGGGAGGAAAAGTGTGTTTACACAGACGGCAAACTGCCTGGGGAATCGTAGGGGAGAGGAAGTGAGCCGGCTCTGTGTCTGCCTGCTCCAACTTCCTGCTCAGAAAGAGAAAAAGCCCAGGATCCTATTTCAGCGCAGCACAACTGTGAGGAGCAGAAGTAAAGCATGGAAAAACAAGGAATCACACAGGGCTCACCGTAACGCTTCACGGAGGGAAACACACCGTTGATCAGGTAAAGTAAAATGTTTCTATGTGATGAACCCGATTGCTGGTTGTAAACTGCGAAATAACGCACACGTTCTCGTGTTCTCTTTAATCATTGAGCCACCTCGACTGTAAATGTGTATCTGGTGTTAAACTCTTTGGATCGTTTGGGTGCGTTTTCTAAGTTTTACGCACGGTTTGTGTCGTCTTCCGGTCCGAGCAACATCTTGAAAATGAGTCAGTGGGGCACAGCAGCGATCCAGACCGCTGAGCTGTGCGTAAAGAGCCGCTGCAACTTTCGGCTCCCGGATACGAGTGTTGAAACCTCACCACTCAAAACACACACACAAGCAAACAAAAGACGCAGCGCGATGCGAAGAAAGCCCACAGCCTCGGAGTCTATCCTCGATGATTTATTTTAATGTTCCCCTGTTGAATTTTCCACCGTCTGCGAACAGGAAGAGAGCAGATTTAGTCATGGCTAAGTAATGTCTGCACACACCATCTAATCTCATTAGGAGTTTCCGCTCAGCCAACACAGTGGACGGCTTTGTGCGCACGGCGAGGTTCGTCAGCCAGAGCATCCGCAGCAGGGCTCCTCGTCCCCGGGCAAAACCACCACAGTGTCCCTGTGATAATCCTGGAATGAGTTTTACCATGATCTGTGGGTGACTGCAGGTAGAACTCACAGTAGGGCTGGGATATGGGGCTGTATCTGTGCGTATCTCCATTATATATAGAAATACTTCATCTTTCTGAGAGGCTCAGCACCACTTCAACGTTCATAAGTGTAGATTTTCAAAAACTTGAATTAACATTTGGTTGAAAATGGATGATGGATGATTTTGTATGTGTTGGGAGTCCATTGATAAAGTAGTGTCTTGTTATTTTGCATGAACCTGACCACACACTGATCACTAATAACATTGTAAGAAGTTCAGATAAGTAATGACATCTCAGAAATGACTCAGAGAGCAAACTTTCAGCAGGTCTTGGTGAAAGTTTCACCAACTTTGAAATTAAAGATATTTTTTGCAATTCAATTGTATCTGTTGTAAAACTCACAATGCTGTTATTTTTATATTGGGGCAGTATCCCGTTTAGCTGGAGCTGGAAATAGATTTAAAACATATGAGAACAATGTCTCTGTGACTTCAATTAAGGAAGATATGACCCCAAAAAGTTAAAACTTTCCATATCTCCAGTAATTATGATGCGAGCCACATAAAACTTTGGTTCTATTGGTTTCTCATACGACCTAATCAGCATCAAAAACTTATCTTATCAAGAACACGTTGTTGCAGCCCAAAATGTGATGATTTGACACGGTATGACCCGTGGTGGGCCACTCACTCTAATATCCACATCGTGTGTCAGCTGTGAGGTTATTATCACCTTGCTGTGCTCACATCTCCTGCTGGTCACTCTCTGAGGTATTCGGGACTGCAGAGTATTTAAAAGTTCCACTGTGCTATTTGCAGCATCTTGCAAAGGTGAATGTTTACAAGTCCTTCTGGCCTAATTGCAGACCTGTCAGCTCACTGGCCCTGTGTTGGCGAGCTTTACTTTTGCGTTTAAAAGCCAAACCAAAGTGTGGGTTCAGAGTGGGTTACAGGGTGGAGCTGTGAAAATGGGACAATGATTTGATCTTTTGACCCCTCGTCCTCCGGGGCTTTAGTGGGA